GCGAGATAACTACAGACTGAGCAGTTCACTGGTTCTTGAGCAGAGAACGCTTCGCAGCTCCAAGAAGAGAAGTCCACTCAATTTTTTTCTGTATTTTTCCACACATTTAAGGGGATTCCTATTGATCTAACTGTCGCCAGAAGTTTATCGAGGTGTTCCTGTTTTTCTCTGATTAGCAGGTTTGTCTTGTTTTCAGTCTAACACAAAATAAGAACATTTACAAAAGTAAGCTGAATACTGCCATTTTGAGATTATTTGAAGATAGTAATTAGTATTGTTTTTACAAAGAAAATCACAAACCTCATCCCAGTCGAGTACTTCTAAAATCAGTCCCCGCTCAAGTCTATCGGTTATTCGTAGCATTAGATGAAGCTCATTGATGACTATGTTTTCTGGAGGGATATCGAACAATGGCAGAGATTAGCATCCAGGATCTCTTGTCCAATTGGGCCCAAACTTTCTCTTCGTGCTTTGGGAATTGTAAGTGTCATAGAAGACAGACATGTTGCACCTACAGGCATAGTTGCACAGTGTTCATTTTTTAATATAGTTATATTCATGAAACATAGTAACATATTGATTAACTATTGCAAAAAATGTTTTAAAAGTTAATAGTGGTACTTGCCTGTCTTTACTTTTTTGTGGGTTAAACACCAGATGAAAGAATTGTTTGATGTTGCCCCTTTCATGCCCATCGCAACTAACAGGAATTATAGTAAAAAGAAAAGGAAAACTTTTTAATAGTCACTTTTTAAGTCATGATATTTTCTATCTTAAATCAAAAACCATAAAGCACATGGATTTCACTAACCTTGTAGTCACCTCCCAGATGGAAATGTAGGTGAACTTTATTTCCATCAATCTCCATGTATCCCTGCTCCACAAGCTTACTTATGGCATATCGGACATTTTTAAACCCCGTGTTAAGGGTCTCATAGTCTTCATATCCTTTAATTAGTGCAAAGGTATGGTTTCCTGTGAATAATGACACAAGGAACAAAACTAAACGAATGCAACAAAATGAAATACATGTTTGTGCAGTTACCATTGAGTCAAAATAATGATATTAATAAATACTACACCTAAAAGCAAGAAGTTACCTGAACTTGACAGCACTCACTGACCTTCACCAAGAAGTGAAAATGAACACACAAATAGGAAGCTTTTATGGGACATTCTCACCCCGTCTCCAGATACTTTTACCACAGGCTCTTTGTTAACTGAATTCTTGAGCTAAAAACAACAAAGTTATTTGTTACGTTTGCTATTCTAAATGACCAACCAAGCACTTCACCAAGTCTCAAGGTCTCCCTCTCTAGTCCCTAAGTAGCATTGTAAATACACTTACATGTTCTCTTATTTCTTTTTCCACCAGAAGCTTAAAAGCCAGTTCATCCCCTGGACAGATTCCTGGTGTCCTTGTGGGTTTCCGCAGGTCATCAATGACCTTCTGGCAAGATTCAACCAGGTACGTCTTTAGCAGTCATGACTCTTGTTATGTTACGAATGGTAAGCCTCCTGAGATATGGAAAACCTATCCATACTATGTAGGATGGCCCTGATTTTTTTTTCTCTTCAGGTAAGCTCTCAAAAGCATTTGTCTATGTCGGTAAATAAAACATAAAGCCGAATGTTTAATCCATCATTGTATGACTTGTATCTATTCATTTTTTAACTATTGGCAAAAAAATGGCATAACTCATGTTTTATGGCTGTTTTATTTTCTTAACACTCTGTACGTCAATTATATAAAATGTTTTTTCTGGGTTAGCTCACCTTTACAACTTTCAAACTTTATTTCCTTTCAATTTCAGACAGATCCATATCATGAAGCAGGTTATTCTTATCAACAACTTGTATTGACCGTGGCACCAATCCCTATGTTTCCACAAAAAAACAACGCTTCTCTTGCCTTATCTCTGCAAAAAAATATTTGAATGAACAATAAATAATTAAACGAGAAATATTACAAGATCAGAATTAGTTAATAAAGGTTATCTACATGGTTATTTTTCTTATATCAAGGATTTTGTATTGTGTTTATATTGACTATTTTGTATCCATGGAGACCGTCTGTTAAGATGTAACCTGTTTGAGATCATTATGAAATAAAAGTTATTTGAACAAGTGTCTCAATTTCTTGAGGTTGAAGCGACACCTTAATCCACGTCTCACCTTTAAGCTTTTTCCTCTTTTTGAGGTGGACTGGATCTTGTGCCGAAATCTCCGTTCGCCTTGCGCCGGAGCTTGCCCCACACGTTCGAGACCAGATTCCACCAGTCGGTATACAATCTTTTAAAATAATTTTTCTAAAAATTCAAATAACTTTTAAAAAAAGTTTTTAATAATTCTTTTGACAATTTTTTAAATTTGTATTTTTTTTTATTTAGCTAAAACCATGGCTCTCATAATATTTTTCTCACCTCACCCACAAGATTTTCAAATTTCCCTTGTTCCTATCCGTATGTCCGGCCAAGGTTTTTTGGTCATTAGCCCCATTATAGCCGCTAACTATGGCTTATAAATACAGGCGTTAAATTTTAACTTGTAATTTAAACTCCCTGAAGAAGTCTACGACAGTTTGAAAAAACGCGTCGGAGAATATTGTTCGCAAAGTGCTGCTCACCAGCTCAGTTTTATTTCCAAAAAACAGCTCAAACAGTGTTTTGGGCCTTCCAGATTCTTCCCTCTATCTCCTACCTACCTTCGTCTTTTATTTGCAAATTGAACGTTGGGTAAACAACGTCAACGTATGGCGGCACCCTGTGAAGAAACATTGGATGGTTGGGGGTTTCGAAAAGAGATTCCGATCGCATACAGTTTGTGGAACGATCGGGGGTTCAGCGAGCTCTGAAAAGAGCTCCCGATCACATACAGTTTGTTTGGTGATCGGGGGTCCAACGGGCTCTGAAAAGAGCTCCCGATCATTAAAAGTTTGAGGGACGATCGTGGGTTCTGAAAAGAGCTCCCGATTACATTAAATTTGTTGGGCGATCGTACGATCGAACGTAACTGCGACAAAAAAATTTTAAACTGAAAAGGATGAGGGTTCCCGTTGACCAATTTTCGAAATTAAAACGTATTCTGTTAGAGGAAAGATTTAACTTCCATTTGCCGTGCGCTGATTTGTCGTGGTTGATAAGGGTTTCCAGAAAAGTGACTTTCAAACTAAAACCGACCGAATTCTGAGCATTTTCAAGGGCAAAAGGGCAAAGGGATGGACCCATCTGAAAACGCTCTCGTGTCATGAAGTCTGATGACTAAATTGAGATTTTGAATGCATGGACCAGTTGGAAAATCTTTGTATTCCGTCGGTTTTTACGGCAAATATGATTCTAACTCAGTCCGCATCAGACTCTTCTCAAATCTCAAAGTTTATCAGCATTCTGTTTATTAAATTTTCATTCGTCGAGTGCTTCAGACCAATTATGAGAAAGCCACACCTTTAACGCTCGCTAATTGGTAATATTTACTAAGTTATGAGGGCTGGAGGACAACTGTTTAATTTTGAGGTACACGAAAGAAGTGTAGGGAGAAACACGAGTCAAGTCCCTTCTTATATATCCGGTATTAACCAAGCGTGAGGTCAAGATGGCTGTATATTAGCCTGCTTTTTTTCCCTTTTTTATGGAACTCAATCCATGAAAACTCAACAAGTGGAATAATAAAGGACGTTGTCAACCTTTCGTCTTACTCACCGAAGCCTAAGTTTTGAACGCGTTGCTTGGAAAATTAAACAAGGAAATTCTGGTCATTATCCATATAATGATAATAATTATTTCATGCTGCCCAGCCGGCAAATAACATATCTGAAATTGCAACAGAGAAAGATATGTAATCTACGCTCATCACGTAAAGGAAAATACCCGCTATTAGCGGGCCGGCAAAGATCGCAGGACTAGTAAAACACTGTTTGCTCATGCAATGACGATTGTTTAAGCAACAGAACTTTGTATCGATTTACCGACTTAATCACCCACGCGGGATGTTGGGAGAACACTAGGAAAATTTTGTTTGCTCTCAAGATCTCATCAGTAATTCTCTCTACTGTCTGCCATACAATTCTTATGATGTTGGTTCGGAATTATTTGTTATTGGATCAACTTTTAATCCCCTAGATTATCTTTTTCTTTATTCTCATCACTTGTGTACTTGATATTGTAAGGATATTGTGAGGAGAAATTCTATCTTGGTCATTCATGGGAGTTAAAGGGTTAAACTAATTGAGTGTTCTCTCAACATCCCGCGTGGGTCATTACACCGGTAAGCTGAGAGAAAGAGTGGTGTATTGCTTTCATGAAGTATGCTTCAATTTGTATGCTTTTAACCCTTTTACTCCCATGAGTGACCAAGACAGAATTTCTCCTTACAATATCAATACAATATCAACCAGACAAGTTATGAGAATTTAAAAAACTATCATTTTGGAGATAATTAATTGATTCAATACCAAATTCTCACAACTAACATTATAAGAATTGTATGGTTTACAGTAAGGAGAATTACAAATTTGGTCTGGGAGTTAAAAGGTTAACGGTGCAATAAATGAAAGGTTTTTGGCTAATCAGGGCACTCAGGGGAACTCAGTCAGTTTATAACATCTAAAAGTTCAGCTACGCTCGCACGTGTACCTTTTACGATAAACTAAACGAAAGTAAAGGTACATTTAAAAGAAATGAAGGGAATGCAACCTACAGTGCATAAGATAATATTGATATTCTCTTGCAGTGCATTACTAGAAGTGCATAGTCGAAGATGAAGGGTTTAAGTGTCATTGTCAAAAACAAAACAAATATTTAAACACCTTTTCGAAGTATTATTTTAAGCTATTATACAAGACGTTCTCCGGTTATCAAGAAAATTCACACTAAGCACTACCTACTTGGCTCGGGATTATGATTTAAACGCCATAGTTTTGCAACAACACTTTGTATTGCACTAATTTACCAGCACCCAACGAAAATATTATTGAATGTACGTTGACTTGTTTATCATTGCAACTAGGCCAACTTCTTACAGACGGTGTTATATTTGACTGTGCACAGAATATCGTTCCAGTATCCAGTTGCCCACGTGGGGAGATGCGATGACCCAGTGTACATCGCTGCGCACGGTTCTTTAGAATACCCATTGGGTTCTTTTGGAGCCCAGTTAGTGTATGTCGGTACCGAATTGTCAGTCCAATAATACGCACGGGAGGGTGCATGATAATACAGACCAATCCACGCAGGTTTACCATTCCCCACGAACTTCCTTGCCAGGTACAAGACGAACTCGTTTTCCTCAGCGCTAGTTACCTTCACTAGATCTCCATGCAGAGAATGACAAAAGGACCTTGCCTGTCTCTGATTGCATGGGATATTGCTCACGTGGTAACAGAATCCACTGTAGTGTGACCAGTCACCAGGGCAGGGATCTGGTGGTAAGTCAAAAAGATATAGGCAATCAATACAATGAGAACAAATGAAATCCGCTGTACTTCCCCGATTGTTCCCATCCATGTGCACGATTGACTTAACCTGAAAGGCGAACGTGTTTTCGGCAAGCGCATGCTTAGTACTTCGACGCGAAAATAACGGTTGAAGCCAGAGAAAAAAAATAGTCCTATTATAAATACTGATTATTAGCCTTCAGAAGGCTACCCAGCGCTTTTCTTGGATTGGTTTCGTTTTGTTTGTTTGTTTGTTTTTTCTTTGCATTTCTTTCTTTTTCTTGTATACTTTTTGTTTTTTTCCTTTGTTCGTCTTCTTGTTTTTCTCATATAAGTCTTTCAGCAATTGTGACACTTCAGGCAGTTTTTTAAATTTAACTAAGTAGAATTATGAACTTTGTTACAGTTCTGTCATGCAAGAGTAACGAAGGCATTGTAGTGTTACCGCAAGTATTGTACTGAGACTAAACTCACTAAGCGTTTCTTCAATGTTTTCCAGTATTCCGGGGTCTTCCTCGACGCCCTGATCTGTGACGAAAGCAAAATAAAGGCATTCAGATAAAAGGAAAAAACTGTAGAGAGAAGAACCAAAACAGTTTATATTTCCTGTGTGCGCAGAACTTTTCATTTAAACACTTACCACCCGGAAATAATAAACATGCAAATCTTCCTCCTTTATCAATTAAATATTCAGGTAGAGTAAGATGGTAATGGATTCATCACCTAGAGGACGATCTCTTGACACACCATCTAAATTTCCTTTGGTTTTTTTAATCGGAAGTGCATGGGAGGATCAGATCTTAGCTGATTTGGGTATTAGAAAAGTGTTGATCATTAACACACAAATAATTTCATTTCTTTCTTATTACAGGTCAACGTTACATTTCTAAAATAGAAAAACGTTGAGTCAACTGATTCTCGGCTTTATAATAGAGATCTTGAATAATTCATAAATAGACAATAACCACTTGACAGAGCATGGCTTTGTTTTTGTCAAAATTAATTTTTTTTCTTCTTCTCAACACACCTTGAAGAACGCATGTGTAACCATAATCAAATGTATTAAAGTTCACAAGGTAACCAGTTGCACAATCAGACATGGTTTGATGCTACTCTGATTTAATGAGTCAATGAGTGGTTGCATTCTTTAAATCTTTAAACCAGAGTAGCATCAAACCGTGCCATAATGAAATGCCTTGTTTTTTTTGCTAGAAAACAGCACACTTGAGAACACTGTTGAAACATGACGTACCCACCATTGGCTTGACAAAGTTGTTCTGTTCCATGGGGTCCTCCTTGATTTTGAGAAAATAACCTGGAAAGATGTAGGAAGTTTAAGAAAAGATTCGAGCTGGAAACGGTCTAAACTTTGCCAGGAATGTTGAAGAATTTGTAACCATGATCAAATGTATTAAAGTTCACAAGGCCATCAGTAGCACAATCAGACATGGTTTGATCCTACTCTGGTTTTAATGATTTAATGAATGTTTAGATTCATTAAATCTTTATACCAGAGTAGCATCAAGCCATGCAATAATCAAATGCCTTAATTTTGATGGAAAACACCACAATTGCGAAAACTGTTTAAACATGACGTACTCATCATTGGCTTGACAAAATTGTTCTGTTCCCTGAGATCCTCCTTTCTTTTGAGAGAAGAACCTGGAAACATGTAAGAAATTTCCAAGAAAAATTCGAGCTGGAAACGGTCGAAACTTTGCCAAGCTGGATGCGTTACTGTCTCGTGGTCATATTGAATCAGCACCTGATATACGTCTTTTTTGATTTCTTAGTGGTAAATTCTTCTGGTGGAATGTGTAAACTTTACCACTTTTGCAGGGTACTAAGAATTAAATAAAGAAGTCAACGTTAAATACTTTTCTCCGTCAGAAAACTGTGTCAAAAGTAATTAATTTTTTTGATAGAACTTTCTTGACTATTAAGTCATGGTAGTCACCTCACTAGCTTTATTCTTGACACTCTACATGTCAATTTTTGTGCGGGTTAGTTCACCTTCACAACTCTCAAAACTGGCACTTTATTTCCTTTCAATTTCAGTCAGATTCAGTTCATGAAGCAGGCCATTCTTGTCACAAACTTGTATTGACTGCGGCATCAATCCATGTGTTTCCGCAAAAAAAGGCTTCCCTTTGCGCAAAAAAATATTTGAATGAACAATAAACTAGAAATATTACAAGATCAGAATCAGTTAGTCAAGTTTATCTGCATGGTTCTTTTTCTTATAGCAAGGATTTTGTATTGAGTTTGTATTGACTATTTGGTATCCATGGAGACCGTCTGTTGAGATATATCCTTTTTAGATCATCATGAAATAAAAGTTATCTGGCCAAGTATTTCTGCTTTTCTGTTTTTAATATATTCAAGTAAATCATTGGTTTAAAAAGAAACACCAACTTACTATATTCGTGTCAAGTGTCTCTGTTGTTCCTCTTTCCAACTTTCGTAAAGTCTTTCCCACAGTGGGAAAGGTTCTGGCACATGTGCTGGTACAGCTCTGGAGCCTTTGCCTCCAGAGATGCGATTAGTGCACGATTTTCTCTTGGGAGGTAAACCACGTCGTTGGAATACTGCTCAATTTCTTGAGGTTGAAGCGTCTCACCTTTTGACAGCTTAGGCAATTTTCTAAATTAAGTGACTTTGTTACACTTCTGTCATGCCAGAGTAACAGACATTGTAGTGTTACCGCAAGTATTGTACTGAGACTAAACTCACGAAGCGTTTCATGGGAACCTTCATCTTGATTCTGGTCTGACTGTGGCAGATGCTAAGAAGAGAATAGGCCAGTAAGCAAACACAGATGGGAAAACACATGTAACATGCTGAGATTGTAAACTTTAGGTTTGCAGTGATAAATATATATATATACACGCCATTGAGCGAGCGAAAGGGTTTCTATAAATAAAGGTAAAAAAAGCAAGGCCAATATCCATTGTAATATGATATTATTTCGCTTTGCTCCAAGAAGCAAATGAAAAATTTGAGATCCTGTATTTTGCGCTTTAAAAATGGATGTGGAAAGTGGTAATTGAAGTTCGTGACGTAAGATTTTGGTTTGAGAACAAACTTTTGATTTCAAATTACCGTTATATATGACCTCGGTTAGGTAGAAAAATCACCGAGCTGCAAATGCATGCAAATCCCAGAGGCGTCGGTGACCTTGTTCAAACAATTTGGCATATTTTTAGATAGCCTGCAGCAAAACTTCCCAGGCGTACTGAACATGAGAATTATAGGTACAGTCCAAAGCGAATGTAAAATTTTAGAAATATAGTGCGGATAAAAGACTGAGACGGTTTTATGCGAGCTTATTAAAAATCAATCTTCCCGTTTAACTCCGACAATGTTAGAAAACTCCAACCAACCTAAAGATGTGTGGCCATGACAATTGCTACTTTCTTAAACGATAAATGAATAAAGGGGGTACGTTTCTTAAGAAACTGTGGCGCTGAGTCAGTGGGAGAGTATTACAGGGTAATTTAGTGTTATCAACTTAGTTGAAAACGTAAATTGGCCACCGTTTGCTACCATATGATACATATGCGTAGAATGATTGGGGAGATTCTGTTGTCCAGCGTCCTTGTCATTCCTTTCTATGTCGCAAAACTCTTTACGGTGGGAAATTTACGTTATGAACTCAGTTGATAATACCAAATTACCCTGTTCCTCGAATAAGTTAGATTTTCAATGTTTGGTACTTAGTAGTTTGCGTAGCTACCTTTGTGTTCAGAGCTTAACCTTATGGATAACAACGATAAGGAGAGCTATGAGGACTGGGGAATTAAAATGAGATGAAGTAACTAATCTCAGAATTATAGAAGACAATTATGAATAATCTTTTCCAATCTTAGAAACTGTCTCGATATCGTGGAGCGGAATGTAAATCCTGGAATATTGCACGTAATCTTAAGTCTCGTCCCATGTTGCAAGAAGCCATCAGCACAAAATACCGTCTTCGCATTTAATGTACTATTATTACTTGAGTCAAAAGTAATCCTATAGTAGACGGAGTCTTATAAAAAGTTTTGGCCAAACCTTTAATTTTGAAACCACCCATGATTTGCTATGCTGCTGTGTAAATCCACGGCGAAACCAATACTGTGTGAGCGCCACATCTAAATTACGTTCAAGCGATTTCAGTCGCTCTTTCGGCGCTGTTCCTTTCACATCCGCTGTGACAACAGCTTAGGAAAACCATTTTAGCTCATGGATGAACTTATGACACATCAGACAGTTCTGCAACGATGAATGAGTCAGCAGAACATACTTGTTTGCACTGCGCCTCAAACCGAAAGCGGTGACCACCCTTATTAATTTCTGATGTTCAATATAGTTGCTATTGACAGTTAGAAACTGAAAATAAACAATTTGCATGAAATGAAATAAAAGAAAACGAGGATTAACGTCACACAACCGATTAAGACTGTGAATCGCTTCTCTACCATTGCGAACTTACTGGCTTATGTTTACAGCTGAATGTATATATTTATATATATATATATTTTTTTTTTTCCGATCATTTTCACAATGCCCTTGCCATTACTTTCTGTTGGCTAATATCAACCCGTTAATGTTCTCCTTTTTCCCGAGTAACTCCATAACATATCTGCGGTTACAAGGCCACTGTAGTTAGTTTATATTCCTCATGGATATAGCTGATAATCTAATGAATTCGATTTTACAAGAATTTCACAATACATTATTGTTATTCTGGCGTTATATCATTTGGAATATGTTGTTGCCTAGGCCCACTACGGAGCAACTCTGAACGTTCACAATAAATCGACTAAAACTTGTAAATCTTAGATTGTGTGAAATCAGTACTAATATCCATTTTGGCAATTTTTCAACTCGGAAAAATTTAAATCAGGTTTCGTTTATTCTCAGAATAAACAAAAGCTATGGCGTCATGACCCAAATCAGTCATAACGTTAAAGTTTAGCGTCATGATTTGGGTCATCTAAGTTTTTGTTTCGATCATTACCACCCAATGTGCAAGGAGTGTTGTTATTAAAATTTGAATTTTTAGAGCAACTTCCTGTAACAATTCGATTTTACAAGAATTTCATAATAAATGATTGTTATTCTGGCGTTATATCATTTGGAATATGTTGTTGTCTAGGCCCATTAAGGAGTAACTCTAAACGTTTACAATAAATTGACCAAAACTTGTAAAACTTAGATTGTGTGAAATCAGTACTGATATCCATTTTGGCAATTTTTCAATTCAGAAAATTTGAATCAGGTTTCGTTTATTCTCAGAATAAACAAAACCTATGATGTCATGACCCAAATCAGTCATAACGTTAAAGTGTAGCGTCATGATTTGGGTCATCTAAGTTTTTGTTTCGATCATTATCACCCAATGCGCAAGGAGTGTTGTTATTAAAATTTGAATTTTTAGAACAACTTCTTGTAACAATATAATAGTGCTTTTAGGGCATTGGAAGGTTTTTTTTACAGACATTCATGTTAAGCACTGCCGCACAACATCACACAAGCTCCAAACCGCGTCTCAGGTAAGTTGGAAGCCTTAATTTTTTTCTTTTATAATTTCATTTGGAGTCCGTCCAAACTTTTGGTAGCTAAAGTTTACATAATATAATATAAAATTTAGAAATCGGAGTTTAATTGATGAATGGCTGGACTTCCATGCGCCAGCTGAAACTGTCACTGCTTGATTTTTTATTTCTGTCTGATAATAACTAATGTCCCTTGGATTTCTTCATTTCATGTTTAGAAAGAAAAACATATGTCGCCATTTGATACAATATCATGAAGCTTTTTTGCTCTTTTAGCTAAATACTACATGTTTTGCGCCACAACATGAATGCACGTTTAATCTCACTTCCAAATAGACAAATATTTAGATGTAAAGATGTGTTGATGTGTAAATGTGATTCGACTGACAACAACAAGGATAATGACAAAGCTACATGAAATAGAGACGAACTTACAATTTGTGGCGTAACCAGGTTCGGTAGTGAAACTCTTAACAATCTAAAACGGCGCCAGCGCCATACTAACGAAAAGACTGACTTGGTTGGAATCATCTAGCAATGAAAGTTATCTAACGAAGACAACGCTTTCTACTGGCAAGAAATAAAACGCTACTGCCGGTTACGTGATTCTTACACAGCCTCACGCAAAAACTTGAACGCAATTGAATAGAAACCTAACTTACGACAGTAGATCAAGAAAGACAGTATAAAATAATTTCGCAGTTACTTGACTACAAACAGAAATGTAAATTCTAGTTGCCACAGCTCTGAATTCAAATACAAAAACTTTAAGACTGTCTTCGTAGGTTCCTTGTGAATGAATGAGCAAATAACTGGAGAGGTATTTGCACTTCCGCTTACCTTGCAATATTCCTAAAATGGAGTAGTTACGTGTTCCTGTTTGCGTAAGTGTTCAGAACTTCCCGTCGGAAGTTGTCGACCGTGGACGGTAGTTGCATTCCGTGGACCGTGAACTGAAGAGTCTCGCATGCTTCCCCTCCTCACTTAGTGAAAGTCAAAATTAATTTCGATGAAGCTCAGAAACTAACGTGGAAAGAAATAAAATATGTGTATGGTTCAAAAACAATGATAACCTCAAATCACATTTCCGAATTTCTTAAAATACAACTTGAGTCGAAAAGCCGAAATATTCACACCTAGAGGACCCGTAGCGGGTTCATTTCAAAACACGCTGTGACCATGCAGAAGAGCATCAGCATCAGAGGCAGCAATATTGGCAAGCGGCACATTTGCGCTCTTCTTCAGTTGGTATAAAGTAATCATTGCTCTATCATTGTGCTTGTCCTCGGGAGCTCTTCAACATACAGTCAACACATCAATCATAGCGGCCAAGATAGTCTAAAATTTTCTTTCGAGCTCCATTATTTCGGTCCAGACTTGAGGCTCGCTCAAACAAAAACAGTAATACCAATCCAGTCAGTACAAAATGCAGACTGCAGACCGGGTACAAAATGCAGACTGCAGACTGGGTACAAAATGCAGACTGAGAATTCAGACTGTTTTTTCGTTTGATACGTGATGGCATGTCATATTACAACTTACCGAGCGTCACGCAATCGCTTTTCCGCGATCATCTTTTTACGATTATTTGCACTATTGTGGAATATTCCTTGCTCGTTTCTCGATCACAGACGTTCTTTATATAATTTCAAGCATTCCTAGAGTCTTCTCACTCTGTGGGCGAGTTGGTTGGTGTGTACGTAATGTCTTTACAGAATTTACCAACTTAAAGGCCCATTTCCAACCTTAATGCAACGCGCGCCACGACCTAATTTCCGAAATTCCCAGATCACTGAAAACCTTCTAAAATCGCCTTTCTCAAGAGCCATCCTGGACATATGTTCAACTGTTTTACGGTAAATACATTCGCCGTCCGTCAGTTTCCTTACAGTATTTTGAATTTTGTCCGGAAGAATCCGAAGAAAAGTGTCACGCTTGGATCTCTTCGTACTCTGTGAACAGAGTCGGCGAAAAGGACAACGTTCAAATTTTTTCCCTTTCTAGAAGTGCTTGAGGATTCTCAATGAAGATAAAATATTTCCAGTAGAAATTAGTATTCTTCAAAGAGAAATATGGAAAAATATTAGACTGCCGGACGTTTAGTTATTCGAAGACCGTGTCCGGTAGTATCCGATGAAAATTTTCTTAGTGTCACGCTTGCATCTCTTCGCACTCTGTGTACAAGGTCAGCGAAACGGATAACGTTGCCATTTTTTAACTTTCTAGAAGCGCTTGAGGATTGTAAATGAAGGTAGAATATTTTCCAACGAAAAATTGGTATATTTCAAAGAGAAAAAATGGAGTTGTTTGAGGACTGTGTCCAACCGTGTCATTGAAAAGTTTTTAAGTGTCAAGCGCTTGGATGGCTTCATACTTTGTATACAGAGTTAGCGAAAAACATCAAGTTCGAAATTTTAGGCTGCCTGGAAGCGCTTGAGGATTGAAAATAAAGTTAGAACATTTTTGTATAAATATTTTTTGGATTTTGAAGAGAAATATGGATAAATGTGGGACTGCCGGACGTCTAATTATTTTAAGTTTAGCCACTTCATTGCAGGAACGTCAGCGACACTGACAGTTTGCGTTACAATTCTTATTTGCTGCTTTGGATGGACAACAACCTCGACCACTCTTTCTAGCGCAAGATCCTCTCCACGGGCAGGAAACTTCAACTGACCCTTAGTCCTATTTAACAAGGATGGCAAACCTCAATTGAAAAAAATTGATGAATGGATAAAAACGTGGTAGATCAACATTTTCACCTTCTTCGAAATGCTCGCAAGGATTCTCGCGTTCCTCTTCAGCAACAACCGATCCATAAGCGTTTACTGCCTCGGAATCTACTAAATCAATGGATTCATCTGATTCCATACCGGATTAAAACGTATAGAACTGTTTTAAACATAATTATTTTGATAAGCTCTTCAAATTCATCGGAGAAAACAAAGAAGGTATTTTGAGACGTGACAAGGTAAAATAACTGACCAATCAGAGGCGCTATTTAAACAGAAGCGGTGGTTCAAAACAAAAACAAACTACTGCGTTGCATCAAGGTTGGAAATGGGCCTTTTCTTTCACTTTTAACTAGTATTTAACAGATTTTATAACATTCATGTGTCGTTTGTCTTCTGTCGCGTGTGCTAAACTTACCTTAAGAGAAACAAGAAAATAAGCAGTTTGAGAGTGCATGTGGCTACCAATGTAGCATCATTTTAATAGTATGGAAAAGAATTAAAAGTTGCATATTGATGCTAGAAGGTAGCCTTGAAGATTTGTCTCAAAAGCAAAACAGAAAACCTACCACATCCCACATATTTATGAAGAGTATCCTGTTCCACAAGAGGAACTAGATGATTTAATAAGAAAAAGACTGATTGACACTCAACCTCTGATTTAATAGTAACAAATAATTATATTGACAATAATAATAGTAATGATAACAATGATAAGAACAATAATAATAATAGTGATATTAATAAAAATTTATCACGGGGGCTAGCTCTATCAGTCCATCCTTTAAGCTCCCACAATGATTAAACTATGCTTCTTTTAGTTCTGCCTATTAATTATAAATTATATTCTTTTATTTCACTGCAATTCCATTTTTGTGAGACTTTTTTTTCAAAAAACAAGACATTCTACGTTTTAGGATGTTCCACCGTTCCACAGGAGCCCTGTGTTCCCTCATTTCGTCGCCCAGGGTCACCCTGTTAAACTAAAAATATCGTACTTTGAGCCTTGCTCGATTCAAAAATTTATTGGCTCTTTTGGGTATCGGTCGCTGATTGGAATGGTAAAATGCTCGCTCGAAAAAAACTGAAGAAATTATATCTTTCGATCTACATAGCATAACTCGATGATTCAAACGGTAAAATGCTCTCTGCAATCGTGAAACTTATTGTCATACCGTTTCCTGTGCGTGTTGCGTTTACGTGTTTATTACAGTGTTATTACCTGTGAGTGTTCCTACGTTTCGTTAGTTGCATTGTGCACTTGTGGTTGATGTTTGTGCCATTAATGTTAGGTAATTTTGTCGAGTACTTTGTCAGGTTTTATGTATAAATTTCGTCTAATGGATAAATAGTTACATCCACTTTTTCACTTCTGAGAAACGGCATCGTTTTCATTTTTCGCCTGTAAAACTATGCACCGTGAAGGTAAATATTTTTCTTTTTTATTAGTTTATTTGCAAGTTTTCGTTCTCCAATATTAAATTCTCCTGCTCGTGTTTAGTAGCCAAGGCATGTGGATGTTTGTAAATAAATGATGAACAAAGTTACGCGTGACATCGGTTACACTCTCTTTCCAAAGAATAAATGTTTCCTCCACGTTTCCAATATGTATTTTCCTATTCATGTTGAGTAGCCTTAGCGTGTGGACGTTTTTAAACAAGTGATGAACCCAGTTACGCGTGACTTCGGTTACACTCTCTTTTGAAAGAAAAAAAGTTTCCATGATGTGTCGATGACAACTTTTAGATATTTCTGCAAGGAAAAGCAGTATTTTTTTCACGCATCATCCTGAAATGATTGGGAATGTTTATCGTCTTTTGTAGTACTCCAAAACAAACAATAAGTAGCACCGGGAAACATCGGGTCAAACTTGGGTCAAGATGAGAATTCTATCGTCACCATTGTCATTTACTCACTCACTCACTCAATTCGACCGCAATTGTGGCTTCGCCTCCTATAGGAGGCAGTAGCCACAAACAACGAAAAAGAAAAGCAATGACATTGAAAGCAACAACTCTACAATTATCAAACGTTATCATTTTTCATCCCATATTAAAGTTAGCAAACAGGGCCTCGCTATGCGCTATAAGTAAGCTTCGATTGTTACGGTTGACCTTGAGAGTTGAGTCAGGGAGTTGATTTCTGGCACAAATTAAGTGAAAAAATATTCAGAGGTTAAGAGATTTCTTCCCTAAAGTTAATTCATAGCACTGAACTTTCTCTTTGCAGTGTCACATCGAGGTAAAGTGAAAGTAGGATGCAATTTGTGTTCATCATTCATTTGATCAGTTTGATGCTGATATTCGTTATGGTCCATCGTGTCTTGAGCGAGACATGTGACATCGCCCACTGGGAGCGAAGCCTGGATAGGAACCCGGGATGGTCGGTATGTCCAAGAAATAACACCTACCTAAAGGGATTCTGGAGGAGTCCACGCAAAACCGGAGATGAGAGAGTTGGACGCCTGGAACGAGGAAAATGCTGCGATGCTGCGGAGCCGCGTTACGCCGGTCAGCCTTCAAGATGTGTAAATGCAAACTGGTCACGCACGTTGGATGGGTGAGCCAAACTCTTCTTGAATGTCGCGCCTTTTCTATGTCACACTCCAACATAATAACTTTGATCAATGCCAATTACGCCAAAAGTAATACCCCCAAAAAAGTAGAAACCAAGAAATTTCAGGCTCAATTTATTTTTGTTCCCTTTTTTTTAAGACATAATATCTGGGCTTTGTGTCCAAAAGGCTTTTACATGAATGGCATCAGAACTGGATCTCATCTCCCCTTTCTTTCATTTTTGAACCACATCGATGAGGCAAGATGTTGCCATCCAACGGATCATCCCAGCAGTTATGAAGACTGTTACGATGAAGATGTTGCTATTTCATTCAACAACGAAGGTTGGAGTGAATGCCAGAAGAATGGTTATTACATGAGCGGTCTCTACAAAAGTAACTGCGATGAACTTAACTGTATTGACAAGTTCAGATGCTGTAAACATCTTCCTAAAAACGGTAATTATATTGTTGTCCAACTATTTCTTTATACAAAAAGAGACAATAATAGACTTTCCAGGAGAATCTTTAATTTCCCAAAGTTGCGATGCGTCAGAGGTTCATGAGACTCAACCGACTTTAACTGACCTGTATCACTTGCTTCTTCGTTTCCTTGGGGTTTTCTTTCCCCGATAAATTTCAAAAGAAAGTTCAAAGAAATACTTTGAAATTTTGACCTACAAGACATATTCGGAGACTAACATTAAAATACTGCTACCTTTTACAACCACAATTACTAAATCTATAACAATAAAGATATGTAAGCATGTATGGTTTTTTATATTCACATATTACCTCATGTTGATCAACAGGGCAATCAAATGGAATTACAGATCTACAGAAAGAGGAATACAAATCTTGGGTGTTTTCTAAGCTAATACCGTGGGCCAAGTTTGATTTTTTTAGGCGTGAGCCGGAAAAACAGAGTCGAGTACATTGGTCGAGGCTTCTGTTTGATGAGGCTTTTTTGTTCCTCTGATAACTTCCCATCAGAAAACTATCAAATTACATGATGGAAGTTTGTTCATAAATAAACAGTCGCTGCAGATGTTCTCCCAACGAAAAATCCCGAGAAATTGTCGAATGGATACCTTCTAGAATTTTACATTACAATTTAGGTACAAGTTTCGATAAAGAAACTAAGAAGGAAACCTTTATTGTATTGCTCTGCACCGCACCATGGGAAAAACCCCAGCCAGGATGGTGTTCAAAATGCCGCCATAAGAGATTTTTTCCAAAACTTAGAGTAGAACCGTTTGTGTCGGTTAGAAGGGGGTTATTTTCCTTAAAATAGTAGCAAGTTAGCACTTTCATTTCAAAATATTTTGCCATCACGTTACCTTTTGTGACGTCGCATTTCGTTACCATGACCATTCTGAACCTTGAGGCGGTAATATAAAAATCTTCGTGAATAGAAGTGTATCTTGAAGCGATCATGTTTTTTTTTCTTTCTTACCACTCGTAACTTGTCGACCAGGTTGATGCCATCATCACCGGTAGTTACCCTTCCACCCACGTAAGCACGGTCATCACAAAATTTCTCAATTTGACAAAGACTGGGAACGAGCTTAAACTCAACTTAAGCGAACTTTCTCTCTCCGTGGATATGCTCAAACAACTTGTGCAGTATAACTCGATAAAAAACAACAGCGCGATCGGCGCAACATCGGACCAACAAAACATCGTGAGAGTGGCAAGTAATTTACTGGATGAGGAAAATACAAAAACATGGTTGCTGTTGCAGGAGGTAATTTGCTGATCCTGAGAAAAGTTTGCATTTCTTTTTCTTTGTTTTGTTTGCCTATCACCAGCTGTATTTTCCTCTTACGTTATATGATTATATGTCGGATAAGTCCATGTTTCTCATGATGAAGTACATTCAATTTTTTTTATTTTTTATTTGGTAAGGTGATATGCCAAGGACCGGCATGGGTAGTCCAAAACATAATTTAGCAAACCAAGGTTCTTGTGAAATGTTACTTTTGTTTTTGTTTATTTTTTGTTTCCTCGGTTCATTTTTGCTTTACGTTAGGATGGAACGTGGCACTAATGAAGCCTCAAACAAGAGAAATTTAGACCAAGAGTAATCATTATTTAAGTCCCGGTTGAGTGCTAAAAGCTTTTTAAACAAACGGCCTGAATCCTATGAAAGATAACATACTTATAGCAAGATCTCCCTGAGTGATTTTAAACCCTCTTTTTATTAATTAAGAATACCTGACTGTTTAATCTTTAATGGAAAAAATTACAAATGGATTTAAATTTTGCAAGGCTGCTTTTGGGAACCCTTCATAGGCCCATTCACCGATTGTTTGCATTCACTGCAGAAAATTTATTATCTTAAACTTGACTTATTAAAATCCAGAAAAGGGGAAACATCACTGACATACTTCTGAAGACTATGGACGACTTTGCTTTTCAAGTGAACAGTAACCTTGGTAACTCAACTAATAAATCGGAGTTATTATCAAGAAACATCGCTCTTAGAGTTGATCGCTGGAACCCAAAACATGAGGCAAGTCAAAGGTCGATGTTAAATCTTTTTAGACTGCTTTGAACCATAATGTTAGTTAATTCAGGAACATTTCTGTAACTATGAATCGGTTTTAGTGACATATTTCATTAATTTCGTGACCTTTCGGTCTGAGTGAATATGTATTTGTATTTTTCGCTCCTAGTTGAAGGTTGACTTCGCTCAATATGGCGCAACAATCCTTGTTCCTGGCTCAGCGATCTCGGACACAGTGGAAACTTGCATGTCCACCATTGCCTACAGAACACTTGAAAATGTCCTTAGGCTTCCAGTAGATGGACCCAGTAATAATCAGAGCGCCGGAGGTAGGCTTCGGAGGAGTGGCACAAGCATTGTTTCTTTCACTATTCATGATCGTGTATCTGGTTCGCTGAATAAACCTATCAAGCTGGCTTTTAATCACAATAACAAGGTATTGATTGTTTTGTATTGTTAGTAATACGAGTTGCAACAACAGCGCATGGGAAACCTACTCCCGTCAGTTTTATGGGTTAAAAAAATGCCGCTGGACAATATAAATAGATCTCAGTTCTCAATAAGGGTAATCGTCGATAAATCGTTTTTATTCTATACCTATCCAATTGAGCACAGTGATAGCTGTTGGCAGTTCAGGTCATCATTCAACTTCATAAAGGTTCCAGGGAAAATTTTATGACACTGGTTCCTGAAATATAAATTTTTCCCCGGTAAAGCGTCTCTTGAACAGTAAGTCCTAAAAACCAAGTGAAAAAAGGGTTTTATTTCATAGGGGAAATGAATCAGCTTGGTGTTGCTTTTTGAGAGTTTAGTATTACTCTCATGCATTATATCTTTTCTTTTTTTTTTTTTTTTGCAACATATCCTGCTGTCTAAGTTTTAATCGTAACACTTTCATTGCAGCGTTCTGATTTGATTGGACAGTGCGTTTTCTGGGAGATCGACCAATCGCAAAGAACGTGGCTGACGCGTGGATGTGTTCGCGTTGATCGTGAGTCAAACCCGCGTGTAACCACGTGCGAGTGTGATCACTTAACCATCTTTGCAGTCTTACTGAACAACAAGCCAGTGAGTCTTATATATAGTCTCTTCAGTCCGATATTTTGAAATAGACACTGTGCGATCATTGTCTTTATTTTATCAATAGAATCGTAAACAAGTCGCTTGATTTACTATTTGTTACTTTTTTCTATTTGTCACTGGTCTCAAGTCGTCAAAATAAAATACTCACAACGTATTTTTTACCTCTAAATATATTACACAACTTCCACTTATTTAAATTTTTGTTTCTTTTCATGTTGCTACTTGTTGCCTAATTCATAAAAACTCCCACACAGTTTTTTTCTGGTTTTCATTTCAGGTAAAATCTCGTCATCAGCCGTACTTCAAATATATTTCTACTGTAGGTTGCGCATGTTCACTTTTCTTTCTGGTGCTCACTTGTGTGACAATCTTAGCCTGTTGGAAAAAGTTGAGAAGTTTTCGGATAACAATGTTACTGCATTTGTTTGCTGCCATTTCGGTTTCTTGTCTTCTAATTATTATAGCTGGAAAAGCAGAAAGACCAAAGGTAAATATCAAATGTGTTTCGATACTCGTTTTTAAAAAAACTATGTCTATACTTCTGTACTTCTGTTCAGTAATAGATCAAATATGAGATAAAAATGACGTAAGAACAGAAAGGAGGCAAAGGGGCGCACTCGTGTGTCATGGATTTTCGTAATTCATCTGAGTTTTCTGTGATCTAATACAAAACAGAGGCATGGCAGCATGGAATTGCTCAATATAAGGAAGTAGAACAGTCTTAATTGTGACGTCATCTGTGCTTCTCTCCTTTAACAGATTATGGAAAAGATCCGATCAAAATTCATGCTTAATTTTACGTATCTTATAATATTTTTCACATATTCTAGATTTATTTTACATTCACAGGAGTTATGCACAACAGCCGCAGTGTTACTCCATTATTCCCTCCTGTCTGTATTTTTCTGGATGCTATGTCATGGTGTTATGCTGTACTTCCTGATATTAAAGGCTGAACGGCAAGAAATTCTGGCATTGAAAAAGAAATGGTTCTACGCTCTAGGATGGGGTAAGAGCAACACTCCTTGAACAAGTACATTTCCATCCCCATATGCATTAGACGTTTTTAAGCACGAAAATATAACGCCTCATTTAAAAGGGTCAGAAAATTTGGTAGTTGCTTTTGTTAATACTTAATTCATTTCTGGCTATCCAGGTGTTCCAGTCCTAATCGTGGCCATTTCTCTAGCAGTAACTGGAATCAAGTCCTATGCAGCAAATAACTGTTGGCTTACAACAGAACATTGGCTCATCTATTGGGCGTTTGTTGCTCCAGTTGCCGTAATCCTATTAGTAAGTATACTCTTTTAACAATGGTGCTCCTTTTATGGTGTAAGATATATTTTATGCAGACACCGTTTAATATGTGAGGTATCGCACTGGAGTATTTTTTCGAAAAAATATCCGATTATATTTTTTGGCTTAATCAAAACTATTTTTTTTATGTCATCATAGTTAAGAAGCTTAGTTGGGGATGAGAAAATCTTAGGAATAAAAGGAATGGTAAACTACGTATACACCTGTAGTACTGAGGGCAAAACACTCGTAAGCAGAGACAGGAAGCAGGATTTCTATTTGTTTTTCTTTGTTTTGTTTCTTTTTTTTCTATCTTTTCTTCTTTTATCAATCTTTTTATGAATTTTTGCCTCTAGATCAACTCAATTCTGTTAATTTTCTTGCTTCGTCGGATACACAGAGCGACTAAAACCAAAAACAACAAAACATCTGCCAAGCACGTGAAGGATTGGTTGAGACGTTTTGCAATGCTACTGCCAGTTCTGGGTGTCACGTGGTCGTTTGGCTTTCTCACGTTCATTACATCAACAACTGTGTTTCATTACATATTCGCCATATTGAATTCGTTCCAAGGACTTTTCATATTTGTGAGCTTCTGCATTCTAGACGATTCGGTAAGTCTCTAATTTTTTATCATAAGCTTCGAAAGGCCAAGAATTGCTCCCCATGATTTTCCTTGTACATCTATAGTATTTATATTGTGTAGACTTTTGAAATTACGTGAAAAAGCTGAGCGAAAGAAAACTCATTGTATTCAAAAGCAAGCAGTTTGAAGCTCAGAAGTAAGGCAAATGGGGAAGAATTTGCATGGATATAGTTTTGCATCGGCGAGGTTTACAAACGTCGATTTACTATGAAGTTACAGTACCAAATAAAGTAGAATGTATAAATTCCTGAGGTACTTTTGGTTTGCTAGTTGTTGTTTCAAATTGGCCCCTCAGTTTTACCCTGCGAGCAGTTAGTTTTTTATCCCCATACGGCAGGTTAATCTCAATTTGCTTATTACAGACTTAAATGCAGGAAAATTTATGATCGGCAAGATGGATGAAGTGACGAACTTCTTTAAATTAAATTTTCATTAGGTTAAAAAATCTATTAAGAGTATTTTGTGTGAGAAGATGAATACCACGAAGAGAGACACAAGAGAAGGAAACACTGTTTTTCAGGAGTAAATAAAGGTAAGAATTGATTAAATAGAATTTAGTTAAATGTTTGAGTTGATTGCTAGACTAGCTATGTTTCAACAAACTATGCATCTTATCTGTGGTAAATGACTGATGCGATGGCAAACAAATGGACGTGCTTGCTTGTAAGATGAACAAGAAATGTGCGCCATAAAACTTCCCTCTCTTGTGCGAGATTAAGATAACAGGACATTGTTAGCGAGGCTTCTTTTCACTTTTGTTTGTTTGTTTTGTTTGTCATTTCTTTTTAGTCGATTTTGTTGTTGTTGCTTTGCTTTAGATGATGGCTGCGCAGGCTGTAGCCTTTGTTCATTTTGACTTCTGTGTATTTTTACTATAAATCTCTTAATGAGTTAACTATAGATATTTTACCTACTACTGTATATAGTTTTTTTTAGTTTGTATATTCTCCCCTAATTGGTGTCCCCAAATTAGTAAGGGATTTGTTCCCTGGCTAGACGGTTTTTGACACTTTAATAAAGTTTCTATTCTATTCTATATTCTATTCTATGGTTCCAAACGGACTCGAGGTTTTTAGAATCGTAAATGAATGAACGGAACTCGGGCCAGATACAGCTAGGGAATTTTTGTATAATTTTTATCATGAACTAAAAGCATCATAAAGAATTAATCGAGAACTGTGGGCTGTTAAGTCTAATAATAAGTTGAGTGCCAAGGATTCTTAGGAAGGGATGAAACGCTTTGTTCTCCAAGTTCTGACCCTATTTCAAATCATTAAGTATTATATTTAACACCAGATCTTCAGACCGGATCTTTACAGTGATCTCAATAGTTTACACGGCACATCATCGAAGAAGTTCTCTCATGTTCTTAATTCTGATTCATGTTGCAGAGTTAAAAAGACACATGGAACATTTCGCTTGGAATAGCTTATTACCGCTGTACAAAGTCCTCCACATATTTTTTCTACGTTTAATGGTTCTGCTTTTCCCTTGCTTTGTTCTTATGTATGTTTGCGTGAGTATTGATAAAATTGATCATTTCATCAGACACTAAGCTACCTCTTGACCAACTGAGGTTTGAACATCGTGTTCGATTTTATGGTAATTGTCTAAAAAGGGTAATTTCTGTGTTGATTAGTACAACGGAAAGAGATGAAAAGGTTTCTATATTGAGTACCGGCCACATGACAGTCAAGGAGCTTTGACTTTCACAGCACTTTAAAAAAGCAAGAGACTAAAAAAACGTGGAGGAAATTAAGGTAAACATGTCTCCTAAACAAAAAAAATTCCTACGCTTTTTCGGACTAGCACACATAAAATAAATACCAACAAAAGACTGCGCCTTTTTTGCTTTGTTTTTCTAATAGTTGCTTTGTATCTGTTGGCAAGGAAAGTATGTTTTTGTAATAAAAAAACAGAATAATTTTAATGGAACGAACAGTGAAGAACTAGAAAAAAAAGGAGATGACAAAGAATGATGATGAAAACAACAAAATTTAATTGCATGCTGGTTAAAATTAAGGAAATAAAATCTAAAATTTTTTTCGCAATCATGAAGGGAAGTCTTTGTCCTTTACGTTTTAAAAAGTCAATAAAAGGTAGGTGGATTGGGTTAATTCTTTTAAATTGATGCTAGGGAACTCGGTGCCTTCTTGCACGAAACCTCAAGCTAAAAGGTAGTTGATAGGGCGATGGTAGATTAGCTAGGCTGATACCGCTTTGGACTAAAGCATAAGTTAAATAAGTATTCAAATTCCAACTTCATCATAATATTTTGCGGAATTATAAAATGTCATAAGTACCTGTGATTTATGTACTTTGTGATCCTGACACAAGCACGATTCAGAGAATATAAGAGAGCTTCTTGAATGGTTAAAGAAAGGTTAAGGTGTTTATACATTAAGAGGACACTTTCGTCCAAGAATGTTTTCTAAGAGCTCACGAAGTGATTCGGAGGCGTTTCGATACCAACAACAACCATATCACAAGTAAGCACTTTCAGTATGTCACCTTTTGAGTCCTAGATGTTTATGATTCGTCTTATAAAGCCCTACAAAATTAATGATTGGGCCGAAAAGAAATTATGCATTCGGAGGAGACACATCAGTGTTCAACGAAGGATTAAATCTGGATAAAACATTTGACTTCCAGTTAATAGTATCATAAACTGAATATGCTATTGTTTTCATGATAACAAATGCCTTTCAGAAGGTCCTTAAGTATTCTCCATATTTGACAAGGGTCAGCAAACTTGAGGATTGTAATCTTAACATCTATGTTAACGCTAAGGAGCAGATCTTTAAAATTTACTCAGGAGGACGTCAATGTAAATCAATTAAATGAGGAATGTAGGTATTTTTACCAGTGCTATAAACGAGACTTGTGTCAGCCTCTGTCAGCTTGGAGATTTAGAAGAGTAAAACCAAAAAATAGCACCATTACAAGGATTGACAAGAGTGTTAAACCAAACTATAAAATTTTTAAGACCAAGAAAAACTGACTCAGTGAAGTTGGTAATTGATGCATATGTTTTATGAGTCTATATTTTTTGTGCATCACTAACAGCAAGGTATAGTCTTAATCAAGAAATATGATCTCTTGGTCTTAATTTGATACTATTGCTTTCATATGATCGAATGATACATACATGTATTGTGGAGAACTTTTCATTTCTTGATTTTCTTTAACACTTTCTCGGCTTTATTCTAGTACCAACTAATTTACGCGTATTCTGTTCGTTTTTTCACTTCAGCATTCATTTATGCAGTGTCATTTTTGCGCTATGTAAATTACTATGCCCTACACATTTCTCGTTTCAAGCCCTTAGAAATGCTTTTTAAACCACTTTCGTGCGAGTGTTTCGTGTTTCCTATATTTCCCTCAGCATTTGATAAGTTTTTTATCGCGTCGTATTTATGTATTTATTTTATTGTCTTGTTTTGTTAGTTTATTTCGTAAAGGTCGTTTTCTGATTTTTATGAATTTACTTCTTCTTCACATTAAAAAGAGAGAAGAAAGCGGGCCCTAGCCTTTTCAATACATTCGAAAGTGTTCGAGTATATATTCGTGCATGTTCGAATATTTCAACAAAATTTAAATGCTTCTCTTTTACTGTTGGGTCAGTAAGAGTTAAGGGGGCAATTTTCGATTCATTCTTTTGAATCTTCAATACCCTCATCTGAAGAGAGAAGTTTCCATTCCAATGTTCTCTCGTAGCCCTCAACATGGTCGGGCGTCGGCAGTTCAGGGTCCATTTAAATGGGAACACTGTGTTCTCGCATCTGACAAAGTCACGGAGATGGAGCCCAAGTGAGGCAACCAAAGATTTAAAGGATTATTGATTTCATAATCAAGTAATTAGCGCAATTATCAAAACATAAAACGATTGGGACGGCTTTTAATTTTAAAGTTGGTGCCTCGGTTGCTTGAGTCTCTCAGGTTACGAAAGTCGATCTGTAGGCCGAGAGAGCATTTTTTTACGCGTCCCTGTCTGCACAAAATGTGGCTAAAAGATTGGTTTCCTAGTGTTCCAAACGGATTGGTTATAAAGAAAAGACTTCACCTCACATATATTTATGGGACATACGTGTGAGAACTTTCGAACAGGAAGAAAAAAAGTGTCGAGGGAGTTCGAGTAACTGCCTTGCCCGAAGTTTAAACGTGGACGGCAAATGGCGAACGTGACCGCTATAGTCTGGTTACGTGACTCCTAATTAAGCGTTTGCGGTCACGCGTATGTAAAAGCAAACGTGGATTCAAAACTCCCTAATAATGGGAATAAAACTGGAAATTTAAGTCGCTAATTTTGATAAGATGATGGAATTGATATTGGGACTTTAGCTCACTCGAACACCGAGCTTGAAATACGATTAATTTAAATCTTCTCCCGTAACTAGAAGCATGACTGCATGTACCCAGGCACCCGTTATACTGAGAAGCACTTTATGAATGTTTTGCATTCGAAGTCGTGCGAGATTGGAATCGAAAAAATAGCTCACTACTCGTTTCAAGGCCATTAGGCCGTAAATGACGAGTTAAAGTCTCACTTTATTTCAATCTATAAATTTATCAGTCTATCTTCGTATTTGAGAAAGTTTCTCATAACAAAATTATTTACATATCAGGATCACGATCAACAAAATCAACTTAAATTGTATAAAATATCCCTGCTCATTTCAATCTACTGTAGAAGCAAGGAACCCTGTGAGATAACTGGTCTGACTTGCAAAAAGGATCCACTTACAGAGTACACTACCAAAGGAAACTAGGTTAATAAAGATCCGCAAGTAACAAGAAACATGCAAGGTACTCGTTAATTTTCTTTCCCCCTGGACGGCTGCACCATGACTGCAACGGACTTTGATAAATATACAGCCATAAGAAAGGCAAATGAGAAAACAGAATCCCACTAACTCGAATTCCCAAGAGAAACGAAAAATGGTTCGAATTAGCGGGGGTTCGAGTTACAAGTTGGTTCCACATCCACAAAAACGGCAAAGAAACCGGTAAGTTTTTTTGCACTCCACGAGAAATGAACAATTATGGAAATGAAGCACACAAAGCTGATCCACACTGCTATCGTCTACACATGAAAGATCTTTCAAAACACTCTTGGTGTTTCCTCAGCATTTGATTTTTTTTATTTGCCACGGTTTGAGTCATCTATTTAGAGAGTGTAACAACATATTGCAAAATAATAACGCATATTTTATTTGTTGGCGGCGTAGATTAGCCAATACTGACGATAATTTCACCCCTTGTATGATCATTTTTATTGTTGTGTTGATGTAACATCCGCTGTTAGGTGTATACTTATTGGATTGTATGTAATCACGTGATCATTAATTTAACTCTATGTCATTGTAAGTATATCCTGTAAGTAGGGATTTGAATAAAGAAGTTTATTGAAGCAACTTGCCTCGTGTAGTTTTAGTCGTTAAGAACACGACAACTGGCGACGAGGATGACTACCATCGGATCGATAGAATCCTATGACCCAGCTAAGGAGGACTGGAGTTCGTATTCTAAGCGATTTGAGCAGTACGTTATAGCGAACGAGCTCAAAGACGAAAAGAAGGATTGTAGCAGTTTTCTTGACGAGCGTAGGGAGCAAAAGCTACAACCTATTGAGGGACTTAAAGGCCCCAGCCAAGCCTTTAGAATTCAAGCTTGTAGAACTGTTGGAAACGTTGAGCAACCATTTCCAACCGAAACCAATCATTATTGCGGAGCGTCTTCACTTTCACAAGCGTGATCAAGAAGAAGGGGAAGGAATGGTGGACTACGCCGCAGCACTAAAACGGTGTTCGGAACGCTGCGAGTTCGGAGGATTCCTTGAGCAAGCATAAAGGGACAGATTTGTCTGTGGATTGCGAAACAGGCAAATCCAAAAGAGGCTGCTAACTGAAACCGAACTAACTTGGAAAAAGGCCCTTGATACGGCCATAGCCATGGAATCAGCAGAAACCATTTCCGACCAGTGGCACCGCCCTCAAACATCAATGTGCTACCAGCACGTACGCAGAACAAGCAAGGCAGAAAGCCAAGAGAGCAGAAATCGTGTTTCCGTTGCGGTGGAAGCCACGCACCACAAACGTGCAGGTTTAAGGATCAAACGTGTCATTTCTGTCAATGCAAGGGGCATATCCAAAAGGTTTGCAGAAAAAAGGGAGCCTCCAAACCAGAGAGAGGAAATGTCTCTAAGAACTCCAACCCAGTACGTTACTTGGAAGACGAGCAAGGCGTAGCGGGAAACTTCAGTATTTTCAAAGTGGAGGACGAAACAGCTGAACCAGCAATCCTAATTCACATCAAGATGAATGGCTCAAAGATCCCGATGGAACTGGACACTGGAGCGACCCTGTCTGTGATGTCAGAAGAAACGTGGAAAGAGGCGTGTCCAACCACAACACTCCGACAATCGAGCGCGAGACTGTCAACCTACTCAGGGGAACCACTGACAGTCCTCGGCAAAGCAATGGTTGACGTTGAGTACGAAGGCCAAACCGAGAGGTTGCCATTACAAATCATCAAAGGAAGCGGTCCGAGTCTGTTTGGACGTAATTGGCTTTCCAAGATTAGGCTCAATTAGCTTACAATCAAGAGGATAAGTAACGAACTTGATAGTGTATTAGATAAACATCCAGAAGTATTTAAGGATGAACTGGCAACACTGAAGGGCGCAAAGGCTCAATTGTTTGTTAAACCCGGGGCTGTACCCAAATTTCAAAAGCCTAGACCAGTGCCACATGCAATTAAGGGGGCTATTGAGCAAGAGCTTGATCGACTAGAAAATATGGGAGTGTTAGAGAAAGTTCGTTTCTCTAACTGGGCAGCGCCCATAGTGCCCGTAGTGAAACCAGATGGGGGCGTAAGGATTTGTGGGGACTACAAAGTGACAGTTAACTCAACTTTGGAGGTAGACCAACATCCGCTTCCAAATTTAGAGGAGTTATTCGTTGCTTTGAGCGGCGGAGCACAATTTACGAAGCTAGATTTATCGCGCGCCTATCAGCAAATATTGCTGGAAGAAAACTCGAGGGAGTTTGTAATAATCAATACCCACAAGGGACTTTATAGACCTACTAGACTACCTTTTGGCGTTTCCAGCGCGAGTGCAATTTTCTAGTCTAAGATCGAGCAAGTATTGCAAGCAATACCAATGGTCGTTTGCCGAGTGGATGATATTTTAATATCAGGCAAAAACCATCAAGAGCACATCAGTAATCTCAACGAGGTGTTGACGAGGCTAAAAAACGCAGGCTTAAGATTGAAGCTAAGCAAATGTCAATTCATGCAACCATCAGTTGAGTATCTAGGATACCGAGTCGATCCAAGCGGGTTGCACACGATTGAGAAGAAAGTTCAGGCAATTCGTGACGCGCCTGCTCCTGAAAATCAGCAGCAACTTCGATCATTTCTTGGGATGGTTAACTACTAAAACAATTATTCAATGGTAACGCATCCATTGAATGAACTATTGCGTGACGGGATTAAATGGAAGTGGTCGAGATCGGAAGAGGACGCATTCGCAAAACTTAAAGACAAATTAGCGAAAGCCCCAGTTTTGGTGCATTATCAGAATAATTTGCCTCTTAAGTTAGATACTGACGCATCGCAATATGGTATAGGAGCGGTAATTTCACACGTGTTTCCGAACGGCGAAGAGAAACCAATCGCATTCGCTTCGCGCACGTTGAACAAGAGTGAGAGAAATTATGCGCAAATCGAGAAACAATCCCTTGGTATAATCTTTGGAATTAAGAAATTTCATCAATATCTATACGAACGCAAATTTTTGTTGGTAACCGATCAGAAGCCTTTAGTGACGTTGCTAGGTCCGAAAAGCGGTATTCCAACTCTAGCTGCCGCGAGACTGCAGAGATGGGCAATCTTGTTGTCGGCATATCAGTACGAGATCGAGTATCTTTCAACGCTGAAAATCCGCGAACGCAGACCGTTTAAGCCGATTGCCGTTGCCCGTTGGAAGCAAATCAGAGGAATTCGATGAAGTTAAGTTGACAAATTCCTTACAAATTGGATCTTTGCCATTAACCGCGGGTCAGATTCGAAAGGCTGCACGTGCGGATCCTGTGTTGTCCAGAGTAGTTGAGTATACAATGACAGGATGGGCCGATGACGAAAATCCGGCTATCCAAACGTATTATCAGAGACGGAATGAACTCACTGTTCTGACGGTTGTTTGTTGTGGGGAATTCGTGTTCTAATTCCGGGTTCGTTGCGAGAACGAGTTTTGCAGGAGTTGCATGAAGGGCATCCTGGAATTGTGCGAGTGAAGTCACTCGCACGACTCCATGTTTGGTGGCCCAAATTAGATCAATCAATTGCTTCCGTTGTTCGCGATTGCGCTAAGTGCCAATTAACGCGAAACAAGCCGCAAATCGCACCACTGCATCCGTGGGATTGGCCAGACACGCCCTGGCAGAGAATTCACATCGATTTCGACGGTCCATTCGTGAATAAGATATTTCTTGTAGTGGTCGATAGTCACTCCAAATGGCTAGAAGTGGAAATAATGCCTAGTGTGACCAGTGAGTCAACGATCGAAAAACTGAGAAATATATTTGCTCGATACGGTGTACCGATGCAATTAGTGAGCGACAATGGTCCACAGTTTACTTCGCGAGAATTCGCAGATTGTATGAAACAAAATGGAATAAAACACACGCTAGTCGCACCGTATCATCCGAGGTCAAACGGACAGGCAGAACGTTCCGTTCAGACGTTCAAGGAACACTTCAAAACTGAAGGAAGTTCGTCAATAACGCAGAGCTTGGCGAGATTTCTATTCAGTAATCGAACGACGCCGAGTAGTGTAACAGGTCAAACGCCGGTTGAATTGTTTCTAAAACGCCGACCGAGAACTAGATTGGACCTATTGCGTCCAAACCTAAGTCGCAAAATCTCCGATAGACAAATGTACGACAAGGCGGAACATGATCGCGAGTCGAAAGAACGTGAATTTTCGATCGGAGAGGAGGTCTTAGTCCAAAACTTTAGAGGTGTGCCAAAATGGTCAGAGGCCACCGTGGTTGAACGCACGGGTCCAGTGTCGTATAAAACACAAATCGGTGAACAAGTGTGGAAACGGCATGTAGACCAAATGCGTGACAAAAGTTACAACCACACGCCGAATACAAGGGTTAACGCGCCAAAACCAATCGTTCCGAACCAGAACTACGAAATGCCAAAGCCAGAATCCTTGCCGAAACATTGACATCGCCAAACGCAAACTAACCAGCTCGTTACTCCAGTCGTGACCGTAAGCCTCCAATTCGTTTAGGTTATGACGAATAATATTTACACACTTAGGTCATCGCTTAAATAAGTATGGGGGAATGTTGTGTTGATGTAACATCCGCTGTTAGGTGTATGCTTATTGGATTTTTATGTAATCACGTGGTCATTAATTTAGCTCTATATCATTGTAAGTATATCCTGTAAGTAGGGAGTTGAATAAAGAAGTTGATTGAAGCAACTTGCCTCGTGTAGTTTTAGTCTTTAAGAACACGACATTTATCATCATTCTTAATGCGAAATGCCAACATGTCGAAGGCAAGAGGTTTGATCAGTCAATGACGATTTACCGGGCTGATGGATAACAACTGCGTTTTGAAGTTATTTGTACAATTAAAGTGGACCATTGTTGTAACTCATCTAAAGCTGAAAATATTTATCGCTCTCATACAGTAATGGAAACAACCATTTCGGCACCATCTGTTTCAGAGTAGGTGTAGAAACAAACTGCGGGGCTCTTAGTTCATTATGGATTAAAAGTAAACAATGTATGAAGCCGAGTTGATCATGTCCAAAACAATTAAAGTAGAATCGCCTCACTCCAACTTGTCCGAAATCAAACACCTTGCAGTATTACTTCGTTAAGAAGTTCAGTTAATTTTAGTGCCCGTCTCAGCTCTAACTGTTTGATCTTTTCAAACGATTAAAATTTGGATTATTTGTTTCATCGGATAGCAACATGATATGTTATCTTAGCTTTGATTATTAAAGCAACTCATTTGAGCGTTAACCCTTTAACTCCCAAGATCTCATTAGTAATTCTCCTTACCGTCTGCCATATAATTCATATGATGCTAGTTAGGAGAATTTGGAATTGGATCAACCAATAATTCACTAATTGATACTTTTCTTCATTCTCATTACTTTTCTGCTTGATGTTGTAACCGATAGTGTGAGGAGAAATTCTGTCGAGGTCACCAGTGGGACTTAAACTGGGTTAAAGAGTAAAATAAATTTATCTTCCATCGAGCCTAACCCATTGGAAAATCCAGGATCAGCAAAAGTGTTTCTTTAAATTGAATTGCATTCTTTAATTTGGTGTTCTTTGAACTTTGGCTGTGCCAATAAAGGGATTATATTGATTCATTAATTAACGAAGAAGTTGTTGTCGACATCTCGTGGGAGCAATATTTATTTTCCACCCTGTTGCGTGGGTTCGCGAGCGTCAACTGGCGTTCGTTTGATTAGTCTACATGCACAAAATGATGAGAAGAAAAAAAAAACACCAATTAAACGTGACACCCATAACCACGGTGAAGAGCAAGATTGACAGGATCCAGTAAAAGTCTTGGCAAGTCTGTAGACAGAACGAATTTTTCCATTCAGTGACTTATTCAAGTAATTTGGCATATTTTCAGATAGCCTGTAGAACGACTTCCCTGATGTACTAAACATGAGAATCATAGGTACGGTCCAAAGCGACTGTGAAATTTTATAAATATCGTCCGGATCACTGACAACGGCAGCGCCTACTTAAGATCGAATTATTTTGCACTCTACTGATTTTGTATCTTCGTGTTTAAACAGTTTTAAACCTAGGATTTAATTGTCGCTTATAGGTATTTAGCTTCTAATTTACATGAAATGACCGAGACTATGAAGTAAAAACAGCATAAAACCCAATAAGAATGGAATGCTGAAAGCTTTGAGGGATAAAAAAAATCTCAATGTCTACAAATTTCAATTGTGTCGTCTTCCTACGAAACTCAAAACTCAAAACAGATCATGTTATGGGAGCTTTCTTAGGTGTATAACGAAGTGCTCATTCAGATTATTTCCGAAGCAAGGCGGGTGTGGCAAATACAAAAGCGAGCTGCCACAGATTTGTCAAAGATTTCCACTTATCGATACTTATAAAGGAAAAGATTCAGTATAAATCATCAAATCAACTTACTTGTCAAATCTTCAAAATCTTAGTTTAGTTTCTCGATCGGTCCTTTCGAACTTTCATATTCTCCTGAATAGCTTAGGTGTAGCTGGCAACTCTTCGGGCACCGCTGGTGTGTGTGTGAATAAAACTTTTATGCAGTGAGTCCTGAATTATAAAAAATGTCCGATACTATTTATAAACCTTGGAAAACGCTCAGGGCGAGATGCATTAAGGCTTTTCGCCTGATCAAGACCCTCCGATTCAATAGTTTTGATACAGAAGCGTTGTTGGAAATATGCACCAAACTAAAAAGAGAATTAGAAACGATGAAACAATAGTTTTATTTGCAATGTGAGTACCGTTCTTTAATAGCATTTTCATTGGGAAATGGTTCATTGATAATCATTTTAAATTAGGTCAGCTTTGCTTGGTCTTTTCAAACTTCGAATTTCGAAAACATACCTCTTCAGAAACTGTTCAGTATTGAATTGTGTTTGTAATTCTTTTAGCAAAACATCAAAAACGTTTTCTTGCGGGCTTTTTTCATCAGAGAAGTCATTCTTCAAAGAGCGTAAAAAATAAATTTCACCCTTGACTTCCATCAATTTGCTCCCCTGTTGTGAAAGATCTACACTTAACGCGAGCTTATCAAGTCAGTCTTGCGGTTTGGCTCTGATAATGCTACAAAACTTCAACCAACACAAGGTTGTACCGCCATGACAAGTGTTTCTTTCTTAAACCGTTCCAGATGGAAAATAGATACATAAAAGCATGCCGGGTTTCCTATGGCTATGTACAGGAATGATTATGGGTAGACGTATTTTGAATTCGTGCCTTGGGGGAGGGACAAAGACTTAATTAATCGAAGTTAAGTGGTTTGTTTTTCAAAGCCTTTTATAGACGCAATAAATTGTTGAGTAATAAAGTGACAATTAATCTGTTTTGATTTTAGATAAAGGGCGGAAGTTTCTAAAGAAACTATGGTACTGCGTCGGTGAAGGAGTATTATAAGATAATTAGATGACGATCTCAAATAGACAGCTTGATCGGCCCAGTGGCATATTACCTTTAAAAATCGATAATAAATTAGTGCAGGATGTCTGTTTACATGAGCCTCCGAGGTTTGAAAGCAAGTAAAAACAGTTACACAAACTGATCCATGATAAGGTAGTCTGAGCTATTTAATTTTGAAACTACCCATGAGCTGCTATGCTGCTGTGTAATTCTACGGCGCAACCAACACTGAGTGAGAGCCACATCTTAATTACTTTCAAGCGATTTCAGTTGCTCTTTCGGCGCTGTTCCTTTCACATCCGCTGTGACAACAGCTTAGGAAAACCATTTTAGCTCATAGTTGAACTTATGACACATCGGACAGTTCTGCAACGATGAATGAGTCAGCAAAACATACTTGTTTGTATTGCGCCTCAAACCGAAAGCGGTGAAATTTCTGATTTTCAATATAGTTGCTATTTACAGTTAGAAAAATAAACATTTTGCATGAAATGAAATATAAGAAAACGAGAACTAACGTCACACTACCGATTAAGACTGTGAATCGCCTCTCTACCATTGCGAACTTACTGGCTTATGTTTACAGCTGAATGTATAAATATGTATTTTCCGATAATTTTCACAACGCCCTTGCCATTACTTTCTGTTGGCTAATATCAACCCGTTAATGTTCTCCTTTTTCCTGAGTAACTCCATAACATATCTGCGGTTACAAGGCCACTGCAGTTAGCTTATATTCCTCATGGACATAGCTGATAATCTAATGAATTCGATTTTACAAGAATTCCACAATAAATGATTTTTACTCTGGCGTGATATCATTTGGAATATGTTGTTGCCTAGGCCCATTACAGAGCAACTCGGAACGTTCACAATAAATTGACTTAAACTTGTAAATCTTAGATTGTGTTAAATTAGTACTAATATCCATTCTCAGAATAAACAAAACCTATGGCGTCATGACCCAAATCATGACGTTTAAGTTTAACGTCATGATCTGGGTCATCTAAGTTTTTGTTTCGATCATTACCACCCAATGCGCAAGGAGTGTTGTTATCAAAATTGGAATTTTAAGAACAACTTCCTGTAACAATTCGATTTTCAAGAATTTCACAATAAATGATTGTTATTCTGGCGTGATATCATTTGGAAAATGTTGTTGTCTAAGGCCTGTTCTGAGACCTTAAGTCGCCTTAAATCGCCTAAAGTCGCAATATTTTTTGAGCAAATTTTGCTAAAGTCGCCTTAAGACGCCTTAAGTCGCCTTCAGTCGCCTAAAGTTACGGCGACTTAAGGTTCCAGAGTAGGCCTTATCTAGGCCCATTACGTAGCAACTGTGAACGTTTACAATAAATTGACTAAAACTTGTACATCTTAGATTGTGTGAAATTAGTACTAATATCCATTTTGGCAACTTTTCAACTCGGAAAAATTTGAATCAGGTTTCGTTTATTCTCAGAATAAACAAAACCTATGGCGTCATGCATAACCCAAATCATAACGTTAAAGTTTAGCGTCATGATTTGAGTCATCTAAGTTTTTGTTTCGATCATTACCACCCATTACCACCCCACCCAATGCCCTAAGAGTGTTGTTATCAAATTGGAATTTAAAGAACAACTTCCTGTAACAATATAATAGTACTTTTAGGGAATTGGAAGGTATTTTTTAAGAACATTCATGTTAAGCACTGCCGCACAACATCACACAAAAGCTCCAAACCGCGTCTCAGGTAGGTTGGAAGCCTTAATTTTTTCTTTTATAATTTCATTTGGAGTCCGTCCAAACTTTTGGGAGCTAAAGTTTACATAATATAATATAAAATTTACCAATCGGAGTTTAATTGATGAATGGCTGGACTTCCATGTGCCAGCTGAAACTGTTACTGCTTGATTTTTTATTTCTGTCTGATAATAACCAATATCCCTTGGATTTCTTTATTTCATGTTTAAAAAGAAAAACATACGTCGCCATTTGATACAATATCATGAAGCTTTTTTGCTCTTTTAGCTAAATACTACATGTTTTGCGCCACA